GTACTTCTCAGACGTCCACTAAGAAAAACAAAAATAAGTCAAAGATTTGTGTTTTGAAATCAATTGTTGGTGTAACAAATGAAGAGGCCAGCTTGTTTTGCAACTATTCCACAAACTTGAAAAAAACAGTAATCAGTTTGCTGAAAGTCAATGGATCAACGGAGATGGACACATTCTCTACAAATTATACCATTAAAATTGGTTCCAGTGGCCGCTTTAAGCTGGCTAGAGATAGGAAATCAGGACGGGCTTCGATTATAATAAAACAACTTCGGTATTCCGACAATGGAATATACTTTTGTGAGGTTCAGGAAGATCATAACAAACTAACAGCACCCGGAGGAACACAACTTACAGTGGAAGGTAAGTTAAAGTTTACATTTTTACTGAGACATATAGTGGCCATGTGCATGTTTCAATACACAAACTACGTTGTTGCAAAATGTGAATGCTGTACTTTCAACAAGTATGCTGAGAGCACTAAGTGAAACGATGACTTGTGATATAAGTAACGTGGCTTTACACGAAAGTTAATATTCCATTCAAGTTTAAACCGTAAGGAGAAAAGTTAGAAGTCTTTGAAGCGAAAGAAACATCAAACATCATATGCCGGGGATAGGGGCCAGACTATCCAACATGCTCTGCCCCGAGGGTAATCAGAATCAGAAAGGGTTTTATTCGCCATGAAAGTTCACACAGACACGGAATTTACTTTGGCAGGATGGTGCATACATTCAACATATAGACATATAAAATCTTAAATAAGTGGTAAACAAGTCTTACTATAATAAGGGTTCAAAGTCTAACTAACACCAAGGGGCTAAAGTATATAAAATTGAATAAATATAGAATATAAAATAGCTATAAGATACAATCTTAAAATAAATAAAAAATACAAATAGGGTAACATAGTTAATATTGGCAAGGTGTCATTTTCTAGATAAAATGTTAAAGTCAGTGTAAGCCCTTGGCCTTGTTTAACAGGCCAGCAGCAGATGGGAAGAAACTGTTTTTATGGCGTGAGGATTTGGTCCTGATGGACCGCAGCCTTCTGCCGGAGGAGAGTAGCTGGAACAGAGAGTGTCCAGGGTGGGAGAAATCGGCCACAATCTTCCTCGCTCGCCTCATGGTCCTCGTGGTGTGCAGGTCCTCGAGGGTTTGTAGATTGCAGGCAATCACCTTCTCAGCAGTGTGGATGATACGCTGCAGTCTGCTCTTGTCCTTGGCAGTGGCAGCAGCGTACCAGCCGGTTATGTTCGTCGAGCGGGAGTTTAGCCAAATGAAGACATCCAAATTTCACTGTGATTTAGGCTCAGATCATCAACTCGCCACACTTGGTTACCCCGGGTTACTCCCGAGGGCTGCATGCATTCCAACCCAAGGATCTGAGCGTTCATTGCCTTCTCAGCAATGAACTCTGAGCCACCCACGGTGTTCACATGTTCAACCAGCTCATCATGGGATTCCGTCCATTCACAAATAAAAAAAATATATTGGAGAAGAACTATAACCATCACACAGCAACCAGTAGCAGCAGTTACAAGGAACTATAACCATCACACAGCAACCAGTAGCAGCAGTTACAAAGAAATAAGTATTCATCGGCGTTCCTCTTATCTGTCAACGCTGCGGTTATGAGGAAATGTTAATGCTCATCCACGGCTCATTATACTGTGTACTCTTCCATGATACAGGGTTGTTTTGGGGTAAGATCGCGTAAATATATAAATGTGTCGTTAAACCCGCCACCACCCGACAGCCAACTAGTAAGGGTTGTCACGTAAACTAAACGTGCCAATTCGTCACTAGTACAGCACGCCGTTGTGTGTTGGAGAGCCAAGCCACAACATTTACCATCTGAGTACACTCTTCCTCTCATCCACAAAGCCGCAGATAACACGAAGGATCTGTTCCTGCAAAAGGGGAAGGAACAGCGTGGGCCTAACCAGACGATCTATTTGTGGATACGAAGGACATGGATATGAGTTTGACTGCACTGTACTCACACTGCCATACTTAAAGCTGATAAACCCCCCTCTCCCCTATCAGCGACCGCTGCTTTCCAAACACGTTCCGATGTTTGCGTGCAACCACTACGTTCTCCAATCACCCGCAGGTGCTCCAGAGGTTAAACAACTCGCAAGAAGTAACCCCAAAGGGATCGTGGATCTCACCAAATTGATTTGCAAAGTGGAGGGGGTGCCCACACCGAACATCACGTGGATTGTTCCGGATGGGTTCCCAATGCCTCTGAATGAGACGAAGCTGACCAGCAAAAAATGGTTCATCAGCACGTGCATGCTCGAACATCGGGGGGGTTTGCCACTTGGAACATACACCTGCAGAGCACGCAACCAGTATGGGGAAGCGAGCAAAGACATTCGGCTGGCAGTGTCCGTGCCACGTGTCAAAGATGCATTAAGCAGCGACAGCAAAACCTTCAAGATAATGTCGAGTGTTGGAGCCATTGTCGGTGGTGCGCTCGTTACGATGGCGGCTGTCATCTTCATACGTCACAAAAGGTGAAATCATCCACACGAAGCAAATCAATGTCCCTGAGTGGACTCAATAAAACGTCACCGTTGCCAGCATCATCACTGCTGTGTGACGTAAAATGACAATCCAGAGTTCGCCCGTTCCATACCAATTCCCAGTGTGGCATTTGGAACAGTGGTGCAAGTGTCTTAAACCCCGTCTCTATCCACCCAGAAGTCTAATGGATGTTTACACCGCAGTTGATGGGTGGGTTGTGTGTGGTGGAGAGTAAATTGTGGGTACTCCCACCTCTTTGACGATGCACATCCAGCATTGACGAGTGGGCAAAGTCACCCTGTGACGGAGGAACTTCCTCGAGATGCCTCGAGCGGGGGCCCTTCATACGGCATCGGTGTGGGCATTGCACTTGCAGCGCCGCACCTTTACAGACGTCTTTGTTTACATTTTATGGCGGTGTGTTGCCGTGTAGTGTACTACGTCGAACTTATTTCGCACCATACGTAGCCAACCGTGCTTCTCAGAGGTGCGCGGGGTGGGGGAGAACAACGAGCTAATGGTGATGAGGCGTTTCCAGATGTGTGGTCGTACGGTCCCTGAGGTCTCGTGTGACCTCCTGCGCCAACGTGCATGGTGCTCCATTTTCGTTGGGAGAAGTGTGCATTAGTGACGAGTAACCGCAGTGATGGGTAAATAAAGTCAACTTCCTCCATCGCAGCCACGTATAAATGATCTTGACTGAAAAGTAGCACTCATTAATATTTAAATGTGCACTTTTGTCAGCCTGAAACATCACTGAACAAAATAATGATTGAATCGTCATACGGCATTTTAATTACGTGCGCATATGCAAATCACCTGCTTCGATTTTAACAACTCTTTTCCTTCTCATCTAGGCAAAGGAGCATCTCCGATGGTAAGTAAAAAACACAAAATCAAGTTAGTCCATCAACATTGACTGTTGAAGGTCACGTTTCCATCCTTTGTTGATTTTAAAAAACAAAGCGTTACAAAACCATCAACCCCACCTCGTGTTTCAATAGTCTGCTGTCTGACCAATACACCCGCAATGCACCACTCTCAGCAAATGTCAGAAAGCTAAGCAGGCATGAGCCTGGATAGTTCTTGAATTGGCAGCCACCTTGAAGGACACGTGACTGGCGTGTCCTTTGTAAAAACCATCGTTGCGCTGCATGGTGTCTCCAAGACTACGCTCCCTGTCTTCACCAACCCACACCAACCAGCGGCGTGGTCAAGTGTCGTCAAACAACCCCCACGACCTGTACGGTGAGTTGGAGGCCATCGTCCAGCGGTGGATTGACAAAAGGGCCTGCCAGCAACAATAGTGCGTCACCATCGTTGAAAGCGGCTCGCCAGCTCCAAACGGGTGGCTGCACGTGACGAATGTATACCCATCCAGCGCAGAGAAGCAGGCAATTGCACGTGTGAAACGACACGAACTAGGTCCGGGCTTCGTGCTTGTTCCTACAGCTCGTCCCCCTCCCCTCGTGCTCCCCCCTTTCGTGCCTGTCGAGTCCACTTTGTGGAACGTTCCCTCACTGTTCTCCCCCTAGCCAATCCCTGCGCTTCTCCTCGAACGGTTCTCAACCGTCGCCTCCGGGTTCCGCTCTGCTTCCTCCAATCACTTCAAAAGCCCTGCCTCTCGACCAATCACCGTGGAGGCCTCTTTCCGCCAATCGGAGACCTTGGTTTCGGTCATTGCACGTGCACAGCCTTCTTGTTCACAGCGTGGGGAAACCTCATGGCAGGATTCAATCTCTCACTCGATATTTTCCGGGACGCTGCTAAGCTGATTTGGAGTTAGGCGTCGTCGGAATAAGGCACTACCACTACCACTAGGGCACAAGGCACGCCTGTCCATAATAATCTGCAGTATGTGTGTGTACTCCATGTTGAACTTCTTTCGCACCGTACGTAGCCGACCGTGCTAACAGGTGCGGGGGAAGGACAGCAAACTTAATACAAAAAGCAGTTCTAAAGAAATTTGTTTCAATCTCGATATACAAGCGCCCCAAACCACCGGCCCACGCTGCATCTCCTCACTCACATCGACTCGGATTGAGCCACAGTCGCCGGCTCTCGTGGGGGAAACAAGAGCACGGCACAGCGCCCAGTAAACGCGCAACGCTGTCCAGAATAGAGGCTTTCTCGGGGGTTAGATCGCGTAAGTACACGCGTGCCGTCAAAGCCGCCACCACAGCCAGTTCGTGGGGTTTGTCACCTAAACAAAACGTGGCAATTCGTTACTGGTCGAAGCACACCGGTGTGTGGGGGGAGTAAACACACGAGATTTATATTGACACGATCTAAGCCAAAAGACACCTCTTATGAAAGTTGGTCGCGAAATCCTCCTCCTCCTGCCGCTGCTGCGGGTGTTCTGTGGAGTGGACGGAGCCTGACGAGAAAAGGGGCGCGACCTATAGAGGTAGGGGGCGGGGCGGGCGAGCCCCGAATTTGCATAACGAGGAGGCGTGTTTCAGCTGTGAACTGCTAAATAAGGGAAATGTAAACGCAGAATCAAACACGAGTGCACCAGGCAGCACGAATGCAGGCCACAGGCCAACTCATCCCATGTTCTTGCCAAGTACCTGTTTTGAGGGCATCTGCAAAGCCTCAGGACCTTTGGCGACATGGATGTGGCTGGGTGCTCAGAGCCATCCCCAGAGCACTGTTCCCGACTCTTCTGGATGAAATTAAGCACTGCTAACTGGACTATTTTATTTTAAGTAATACATCAAACCTATGTATGAATTCAAGTGTATTTTATTGATGGGCTTTGGTATATGAAAGCAAATTCTAAATTATGTACGTGAAACATGTGTTTCAGTTTCTGCTGGAGTAGCAACATTCGAGACTACAGCTCAAGATGTAAGTTTATCTTCACAATGTCATCGCTACACACTGCCGCAGTGTAACGCTTAGCACGCTAGACTCGCAATATAGAGGTTGCTGAATCGATTTCGTGGCACGGCAGTTGAAACAATGGGCTAGTTTCTGGTCTCGCCGACTGCGTCCACTCAGCAGTACTCTAAAAATGGGTACAACCACGATCAGCTGTTCGGCGTGTTTAGTGTGGTGGTAGTAATGTGAGGATACTCTCACCTCTTTCAAGACTTGTAGTGAGCATTGAAGAGTAGGCCAAATACCCTCTAAAGATACTCTTTATGGATTCCTTTGGAGGTCCTTCCACCAGCAGTGGCATGAGCAAACAATTGCAGGGCCTGCACCTTTATCATCACCATTACTCTTGTGCAAAATGTAAATGTACCCCTCTCCAATGCGCACACACACACACACGACTTTCATTAATCCATGGTCCTAACTACCTCTTTCACAACCAAAACCTCTTCTACAAAGATCCCCGGTATAGCTTTAGCAGATTGTCGTGGCAAGTGCTGTCAGCGAACACCTATGAAGGCCGGGATGGCACATGAGGGGGTGGGTGGTCAGCACCACGCCCGACCGCCTTTGTCTCCCTCGTGAGGATGTTTACACATCACACCAGGTACTCATTTGAGGCCGAGTTGACCTAGCAAAGGCCTACTATAGGTTCAGATAAAAGTTTAACTTCCAATTTCTCATTCTAAACCACCACCCCCTCTACAACCGACTCTCACAGACTCAGTGACACACACAGACACATAACTCTCACGCACCCAGTCACACTTGCACGCGCACACACCTCCTCTCACCGATGGCATACCTGTAGATACGGTATACTGCAAGTCTGTATCCCTATGTGCACATTTGCTTGTATGTCATAATTCGCGTTTTCGTGGCACTCTTCGACAATCCACCAAGTGGCATTGCTTTCGACAATCCACCAAGTGGCATTGCTTTAGAATTGAACACGCACGCTGCATATACATTCACACACACTGTGCAGTATGTACACGCACGTATATATGACACCAAAGGAGCACGTGCTGTGAGCCATTTGTCTGTGTTCTGCAGGCGGAGAACGTGGTGTATGCCACCTTGAGCCACGACACATCGGCCACAAAAGCCACTCCACCTTGCCACGACGATGCTGTTGTGTATGCAAGCATCCTGAACCACTAGGGCTTGTCAAACAAGACATCCGAAAATGTTCATCAAGCATCCATGGCATTAAAATGTGCGAAAACTAAGATCTGCTCATTCGGGTCGACTCGTCATTCCAAAGACTAGACCCTGTTGTTCTATGGGAGACGGAGATTTTTTTTCAGTCACGCTTTGTGTGGAATCCCATTCCTTTGTCCATTATGGATTCTGCGTCTGTTACATTAAAAAAGACACATCTTAAAACTCACCTAATTGTACTATTGGCTTTCCCGGTAACTTTATATTGGAACATCTATTTTTGTTGTCTGATTGGATTATTCTGTAATTATTATAATTCACTGTAATCATAGTTTGTTCATTTTATTTGAATTTCGAGAGGAGTCATTGATATTGTTAAAATAAGCTTTCTTTTTCACTTAGATATTATCTAAACTTGTGCGTGTAGCTATTTGTACTTACTCGTACGGCGCTTTGAGATAGTTCAAGATGAAAGGCGCTTCATAAAATAGCGGCTAATTGTTTTTGAGGAAGCGGCTCAAGGATCAGAGTGCTGAACTGCCATCGCTTATTTCCTGGGTTCCAATCCAGGCTTTTGATTAAAACAAGATCTCGTATTTATTGGTTTATGGTTTCAGCCCGGCCAGCAGTGACTGCAAAAATATGGGCGACATTAAATTTGGTTCCGCACTGCACAAGGCTAAACTGGTTTGGAATGTGATGAACATTACCGTACTCTGATACGCAACGTGACAACGCGCCCCTCTCTGCAGACCAGAGGTAACTTAAAAGAGTATCAGAGATTGCTGATATTCTTTTATACTGGTGGCCATCTGAGTATTTCAGGTCTCGGATGTGGATGGAAGCGGTGCTGCTGTTGTCAGAGGGTCCAACAAGTGAGATGCCTCCATTGAAGTCAGCGTGCTTCGTATTTGCATTTCTATTAAATGTGTATCTATATCAGTAAAAAAAATGTTTCTTCCAGATCACTTAAATGCTCTGATTCTTGTTCCGTTGCTCTGTTGGGTAGGTAAAGTTACACAACAGAGTTGTATCCTTCATCTTGAGTCAAGTTACTCAGTTCACAGACTAACTCAGAGGCAGCCAGACCTTCAAAGATAATAAAAAAGTGTCGCAATTATGAAAATGCATCTTCAACAATATGTAACATATAATGCAGCTTTACAGTAACCTTAACGACCACATGAATGTAATGTGTGTCGAGTACTATGCATATTCTACTGGCGAGTCAGGTAACGATTGAAAGGGATTCTGATGCTCATTAAACTTGCTTCTCAAATCGTGCGTGCAAGAATCAATGATTTATGATTTTAGGCAAATGAAACGTATGGCGGGACCCCGGGGTCCCGAATAAACGGAAGTCAAAATCGTAATTTATTTTACTTATTTGTGGCGACTCCGTCCACACGAACGCCGTGAGCCGCCTGGCGCGGATCGTTCTGTTGTCGTGTCCAGGCGCAGCGGCGAAGACGAATGCGCACAAGAAACACAACTTTGGAAGTTTGATTGTAGAACATAAAATGACGTCGCAACGCAGTTTATGCGAGAGCCGGGGGCTTATGGGACCCCGGGGTCCCGCTATAAGGGTCATTAATGTCAGGATTAATCAATTATATACAGGCCTAACATCACGTAAAGCTAGCAGGGCGAACAAAACTACAAGCGAGGACAGCAAAACGAGGAACAATACAAATGAGGTGACAGAAAACGAGACCCTGAGTCGAACCTGGCCTCTGTTCTGGGGCAGGAAGTGAACTCAAACATGCTGGCAGAAGTTACTAATACGGTCCTTCAACACCTCGGATGCTGCCGTCGTGTAAATAGCACGCTGGACTTGAAATCCCAAGTCCAGCGTGCTATTTACACGCTGGACTTATTATTATTGTCGAAATAATAATAGGGCCGGCTTCCAGTCCGCCTTGAACTGATGCGCACGAGTTAACGAGCGGCACCTGGCGCCCTGCACCACAGCGAGGTTCCAGCGCCGCGTGCTCGATGCGGGTGGTGGTTGTGGTGGCGTGCAGAGCGGCAGTGCTCACGTGACAATCCTGACGCGTTGCCTGCGTCGGGTGGTGGCGGGTTTAACGACACATTTAAACCGTGTCGCAGCGGCGAGCGCTATGCTGCGCTATAGGAACCCGACGACAGCGAAAATCGTCACCGGCAAACACCGGTGACGATCATCTCTACCGGTCCTGGGCCTCACCTAGGTCGACTCAGCCTGAAATAAAAACGAGTACCTGTTGCGGTGTGTAAACATCGCCACTTGAGAGACAAAGGCGGCCGGGCGTGGCGCTGGCCACCCACCCCGTCGTGCCGGCCTTCATAGGTGCGAGTCGCTCACGGCACTTACAGTCTGCCACAGGCTATACGGGGATCTTTGTTATTGGTGCGACTTTGGGATGCTCTCCGCTCGGAACGTCGCGGACACGTCACGTGACGTCACACACCCAGTGGGCACGCGGACAGCGCTGGGGAGGGTTCCAAAATAAATAATAAATGAATGGGTCGTGTCTGATGATGATGATGATGGCTGTACTGCAGCTTTAATTCAAGTTTAATTAATTAGGTCTAGCCCTGTGAGCCATGCGGCCCTTGGGTCGGGTGCAACCGCAACAAACAAAACGTGAACAGAGAAACATCTTAAAGCGACGACGGGCAACAGAAACATACTGGAGAAACCAGCAAATCTTCCAGAAAAACCCACCGTATTACAACGCTGTGTGCAAAAATCCCAGTGTGATGCAAGTCAAACAACAACAGCCATAAGAACTGCCTCAGCAGTACTTAACTCAGCCCAATTGGTCTCTATGGTCAAAGACTTTGTACTCTCCCCTGACGATATCCTTGTCAGCTTCGATGTGGTCTCTCTGTTCACCAAGGTCCCAGTACCTGATACCATTGAAATAATTGAAAATTTGGTCCAACATGGACTAGACCCCGATACACCTGCCCTGGTTAGGCACTGCCTCACCAATACCTACTTTACTTGGAATGGCACCTTCTACAAACAAAATGAGGGTACCCCCATGGGTTCCCCCTTGTCACCAGTGATAGCCAATATTTTCATGGAGAAATTTGAATCAGACACCATCCAGACTTCCACCCTCAGACCTTCCCTGTGGAAGAGATATGTGGATGATACTTTCGTCATTTGGCCACATGGCCTCCCAGCTTTGAACCTTTTCCTAGACCACATTAATTCCAGACACACCGCCATCAAATTCACCATGGAAGTGGAGAAAGATGGCAAGCTGCCATTCTTGGATGTTTGAGAGGAGACCTGATGGTTCATTGGGACATTCTGTCTACAGGAAATCCACCCACACAGATTCCTACTTGAAACCTGATTCCCACCACCACCCGATGCAAAATAATTCTCTCATCAAAACGTTATACCACAGGGCTCATTTCATTTCGGACCAACACCACCTGACCAGTGAATTAAAACATGTACACCTGGACCTCACGAGAAATGGATACTCTGACCGTACCATCCGCCAAGCTGTTTCTCCCTCCATACAGAAACAACCACTTGATACTCCAATCAAAACCATCACACTACCATATATAGCAGGCGTTACTAAAACGATCTCCAACATTCTAAACAAACACAAGATCCTGGTCCGGTTCAATACAGTACACAAAATCCGTGACCTGATCTCTTCCGTGAAGGATGTCATTTCTGATTTACAGTACCCCGGCGTTTACAAATTGATCTGCACCTGTGGTGACTGCTATATCGGGGAGACGAAGCGACATGTCTCTGACCGAATTCGCGAGCACAGGTCGGATTTGAAACACGGCAGAACGAATTCTTCTGCCGTGGCTGATCACTGTTACAACGCTGTGGGTGATCAGGATATAGTTTTCTCGGATACCAAGGTCCTCTGCAAACCCACAGGTTTTTATCAGAGATTTGTTCACGAGGCAATTCAGATTTACAAACACAGACTACAATTTCAACCGAGAAGATGGTTTCAAATTAAGCAACCATTGGAAAGATGTTCTAAATCGAACCAAATATTAAACTAATTTTCAATGGTACAGTATATTTATTCAAGTAGTGGCATCCCAAACTCTCACGGTGGTGTAATGTCATTTTATGCTAATTCCTTTGTCAAGGCGTTTTCTGTTTACCCCCTCACAGCTTAAAGGAGGCGATCTGCGCTTGGCTTTCTTCACTCCAACACTGTCCTCTGGACAGTTTGGTCCCTTCACCTGATGAAGGCCACTTGTGTTGTGGCCAAAACGTCGTGATTTTTTGTTGTTTTGTTTTTTACCTACGTGACTTTACCGAATAGAACCAAAGAGTATGGATCCTTGCAGTCACGAAAGCTTCAAATCTAGAACAGCCATGAGACAATTTAGAAAGTTATCAGGCCAACTCCGCATTTCCGCAAGAAACATGGCTTCACCATGTTTTCGAAATCACCAAAATAAAGCTGTAACAACAATGTAACAACATCGCACACACCGAGTTCACAACTGCATTAATTGTAATAAAATTGTGCAGCATTTGACACTTTGTAAATTTCACACGTTCCACGTAAAAAATTGTACTTAACACAAAAGCAGCAACATTCTAGAGGACTTTTCACTGTCGTAACGGCGTTCTGTGCGCTATTAATATTCAAACAGAACGATGTCATTACCGTTTGCTGGAACTTTGCAACTGTGTACATTGTCGAAGGCGAGTGCCCTCTCGAGTGTGGTGCATTTATTTGTTGTGGAACGGCGCAAACGGCCTGACCTCTATGCTAATGAGCTGCTTGTGACGTCACGAGGTCACAGGCACGCGGCTTGTGACCTCGCGATTCGAGAAGTGTGGCAAGCGGCGGCAGTTGCGGTGGCGACAGTTTGCAAAGAAAACGAATTAGGGAACAAGAGTTTGGTCGCTCGAAAAGAGATGTGCAAGACGGTGAAGTGGGGCGAGTTCATTAAATCTCCCCCCAGCATCACCACCACATCCCTCGGCCGTGTCCACTCAGCAGTTTCAATATGTGCACAGCAGTCGACCGGCACGTCCCTGTGGTGGGGCAAAGTGTGGGTGCTCCCACCTCTTCCAGGATGGCCAGTGTGTTCGAGTAGGGGAAAGGCTCCCCAGGACGTTCACTTGAAGTCCGTCTGCAGTATCGACACTCGGCAACGATGTTTGGAGGGCAGATTTGTTAAGTGTGTTGACCGTCTCTCCTGTAAGTGGGGTGGTGTCGCTCATCGCTGCTGTGAACAACCATGGCTAGGAATCTAACTCAGGTGGCCAGATGAATAGCACGGTGCGCTAATCACGGTGCCACTGCTCTGTATGTGCCGTGCGACGATGGATGAGCGTCGCGTTCCGCACAGAGTTATATTCAAAGCGCTTTTTCAATCCACTGCTGGATTGAACATGGCCTGCTCGCGACTAGGGGTTGTTTGACCATACTTCACCACGCTACGCTGGTCAGTACGGGTTGGGTAATTGAGGAACTAGGTCCAGCTCGGATATTATCACTCGCTCCTGGTGTTTGCCGAGGGCGGAAATCGAACTCATGTCACCAAATAAAGAGCACGGTGCATTCACCGATGCACCACCGCTCTACCCCACATTATTACGTGCAAAATAATTATATGCACTTTCTTATTAGCATTTCCCAGGCTAGGTTTAACAGAAACTCATAATCGAGTACATGTAAACATGTATTCACAGTATACCCAATGCATTCAAAATGATAATGTAATCTGTATTATATCTGAAAGTACTACACTGCATTTTGGACGTGCACGCGTTCGACAAATAACACTGCTCAACAATTTTTTAGACGTCGTCTGCTTCAGAGATGAAATGTATTATTACGGATTTTGATGTGCTAAATTCAAATATGGCAATTAAAACAACTGATTGGCTACTGTTCCCAAGATATTTAAGTTTTTACATTTTACGTCTATGTATATTGTGTAGATAGAGTTTAACCTATAAATTGTAAACCTAGGTTGTTTTTTTATGTGTTTATGGTATCTTTACATGATAACATGTCACCTGTCCTGTTCATGTAACTATTTAAAAATCAGCAAAAGGGATATAAATAAAATGTATAATGAAACAAAAGGCAAAACCTATTATGTATATACAAGTACATAGTTTAGTCCTTGTTCCGTGTCTACTCGGCGCTTCTTGGCTTGTCTCTCGTATTCATTAAATGGAGCCATCTCTTGTCACTGTCCAGCCATAGTCTGCGAGCATTGACGGGGCTACATTTGCCCAGATAACGTTTCTCCATCGTTGCAATGTCCTGGTGA